TCTGTCGCCAACGCTCAGCTTTCTCGAAGGCCTGGCCCGCAATCAGCTACTTCTATGTTGTTTCGACAGGGACCACTGTAAGGCCGAAAAGTATCATCTATGGGCACATGGACCCCCTATGGGGAATCCCAAAAAAGCTTGCAAACGGGCACAAAAGCATTAAACCACTGTCAGCATTTTGTAGTGTTCTCGTGCTCTAGCCACGCTTTTTTGGCCGTTGTTGAGAACGCTGCTGTGAGCTTTTTAAACGAACACTTGCCGAGCTTAATGCCTGCAGGATGGAAAAACCTTAAGGGTCCAAGTATATGGCGGATATTTATGGTTTTCGGTACCGAAAAGGACCCAGGTTTCAGGGCTTAGGGGTTTAGGGTCTAGGAGGGCTTCAGGGCGGGAGTGGCACGATTAGGTCTTGAGGTCTTGAGGGTCTTGGGTCACTGGGGCGTTTCCGAAAAGAGGGGGACCCTACTATAGTACCCTAAGTAGTAGGATATTTATTAGAAGGACCCCAAAATAAGGTACCCCTAAAGTTTCGGAAACTCACACTACTTGGGTGTCCTGAATACCCTCAAACTGTAAATCCTTACGTGCCGAAGCCCCAACCTGTAAAAGACAAAGCCCCCAAACCTTGAAGCTGCTAATCACACACTCATTCGCATGCACGGCGAGGCTGTCGGAAGCAAGTCGAGCTCACGTTGCAGACCGCCGCGTAGACAATAATGTCCGGCCTGCCGTACTTCCACAAGTGGTTCATTCTAGGAACCTTTAGCCTACCTTAACCTACCAACACCTACAAAAAAGTAGGGTCCCTATAAATTCCATATCAGGGTCTATAATAAGAACCTACAAAAAGGTAGGGTTTGGTAGGTTAAGGTATGATCATGTCGACCCTGATGAACGGAATACCCCTCCTGCAAGATCATATAGTCACGGGTTCGATTAACGACGGTCACAGCATTCAAGCGGACACTCGGGCCAGGTGTAAGTCACGGGTTAACTACGGTGCTGAGGCCAGAGTGCGGGCTAGGATGTCGGGAGGGGGCGGGTGGGTGGCTCCAGGATGTCTGCGAAGATTCCAAATTCGTAAGGGCATACGAATCTAGGGCTCAGTGTGCAGAACTGTGCTTCGCTTAGCAAACTCAGATAACACTGGTGTTGCCAATCGCGTTTAAGCGACCGACCCGAGGCTTCCCCAAACCCTGTCCCAATGCCTAAATAAAGGGGCCTTAATAATTAGAATAGGGTTTTTGGGGCCCGTTTTGCTAAAGCTATAGTAACGAACCCCTGCAATACTATTGGTAAATATTTAGGCCCTATGTTAAATGCCCAACCTAGAACCAAAACTCTAAGTAAAAGTATGCCCTAAACCCTGACGAGATACGTGCGCCGAGTGGCTTGAGGGTGAACTTAGAGGTCATGCGCTCGATGTCGTCCAGCACCTGTGTCCATCTTGACCTGGTTGCACTTTAGTTTAAGTTAAGCTTTTTATGAGATGAGATTCAACATTTTCTGGGCTTGAGATAGCAAATAGATCCTCATGCACCCTAGATACTTCTGATCTTGGAGAGAAAATGGATGCTTTGAAGAGGCGTACTTAATCCTAGGAATGCATGTGCCCAAACAGTGTACACGTTGGCCCAGGGTACCTGAATAGGGACTACTCTAAGGCCAAAGTATCCTTTCAAGGTTCGTGAGTTGTGCGAGGTGGGGCTTCACGGTTTATCTAGCGGTCACCCTCCCATTCTCCCAAGCTCTTCACATACTTTGCCGGAATCGTTCTTTCTGTCTGTGGGTGCAGAGAAATGTGTGAAGAGATTGGGACCAGCAAAAATCTCTTTACGTGCTGCAGTTGCCCATTCTATTAACACGTTCACATACTTGCACGGTATCGTTCTTTCTGCTTGTGGGTGAAGAGAACGATAATCTTGAAGAGTGTGAGTGTGTGAAGAGAATGGAAACCCAGAACATAGGGTTTAGGGTTCCTGGGGTCGATGTCTAAAGGTTGAGGGTTTAGGGTCGAGGGTTTATAGGACTTCAGGGTTTAGGGTTGAAAGGACACCGGACATGTACTTGAAGTATGTGTATGTACATATATGGGTAGTTCTCTGAATTAGGTCTCTGTCAGGATCCATGTATAAGGCTGTTTTCGCTCTGAATACACCACCCGCTTTAGGAGGCAAGAAACAAGTATAGTGTCAAGGGCAAACCTGTACCATCGAAGGACTGTGCCATTGAAGGACAACTATAACTTTGCCCCATTAAAGAAGAACTACACCATGAAAGAAGTGCTACTAGTATACTGCTATAACTCTACACCCTAAACCCTAAACCCCAAAAACCAAACCCTAAACCCCTGAACCCCTAAACCCTACATCCCTAACCCCCCAAACACCTAAACCCCTTAACCCTAAACCACTAAACACATAAACCCCTAAACCCCTAAACCCCAAAACCCCTATACCCCTCAACCCCCAAACCCTAAACCCCTAAACCCACCTAAACCTCTAAACACACCTAAACCCCCAAACCCCTCAACCCCATGAAAGGGTCCCAGTGGGCTTCCCCGCTTCTGCCCGTGGGCCGTTGCTGTCAGAGCGGCCTGGCTCGCCATGCAAGGTAGGCTGAGGACTAGGGTTGAGCCTTTAGGGTTAGGGTTTAGGGTTTAGGGTTTAGGGTTACCCTAGGGATCTAAGGACTCATATGTTGAGGCTTTTGGGCCCAAAGACCATACAACATAAGGCTTTTTGGGATATTTTGATCCCTAGGGGTAGAGGGTTGAGCGTTTAGGGTTGAGCGGTTAGGGTTAGAGGGCTTATGGTTTATAGGGTTGAGCAGATAGGGTTGAGCTTTTCGGGTTAGAGGGTTCAGGGGTTTAGGGGGTTCAGAGTTTGGGTTTAGGGATTTAGGGGATACGGTCATAGTGAACCCCACAAAGTTGGAACATGGGTTAGGACGATTAGTGCTGGGATGTCCTATGTGGTGGAAGGGCCTATCTCCCTCAAGGTGCATTGGTCACTCGACACAACACCGCACCATGCACTCTGTACAAGGACGTGTATGACCGCTTGTCGAACCCTGAAACAGCCTTATATGGGAGCTTCCGAAAATAGGGGACCCCAATACAGTACCCTAAATAGTAGGATCCTTATGATCAGGACCCCAAAATAAGGTACCCCTAATTTTCGGAAACTCCCATATTGTAGAACACTCTTCAAGGACGCTCCCTTAATCACAACACCTGCAGAGGTCAAGGATCCAAATAGAAGCATTTTCGATCCTAGCTACTGTCGAAGGGGAAAAGGAGGGACCCTTAATAAGGACCCCTAGGTATATACCCTTAATATCGCTATTATATACCCATGATATAGCCCATTCTAGGGTAGGGGTCCCCATTAAGGGTCCCTCTTTTTCCCCTTTGATACTGTCATCCAAATGGCCTTTGGTACTAAAACTCACTGCTGGGGCACGAGGACAGGCTCAAAGTCGCCCACCAAAAGCCTTGTATAGTCTGCAAGCCTTAACATTGGTACCTGTACAGTGTATACTTTTGTACGGGTTAAGGCCTCAAACCTTTTATACTATATGGGCACATGGACCCTTTGGGGAAAACTATGAGCCCTTAGAACCTTACAAGCCTCGAGATTCATATCTCGGAGCCACCTGAGCTAAGAGTAACCTAGGAATAAAAGGGTAATTACCCTTTTCGGTTTAAGGGAACCTAAACCCTAAAAAGGGAACAAGGGCCTTTTGGTTTAAAGGGTTATCAGGGAACCTACACCCTGAAAAGGGAATAAGGGCCTACTCTGGAGCAAGCTGAGGCAGTGACGCTGAAGGTGACCACATCTGGAGATGCGAAGCCGCGCTCCTCGCCTGAAGTCTCGAGCAGGGCATGAGGTAATGGGTTTTTTTCAAAGGATCCTTTAAGGGATCTATAGGGTTTAGGGTTTAGGGGTTTAGGGTTTACCTTTGGTTAGTAGGGAATGGAAGAATGAAGTTGGAATTATGGATTCTTACCTTTGGTTAGTAGGGAATAGGGCTCCTTTAAAGGGATCTATAGGGGTTTAGGGTTCCTTTAAAGGGATCTTTACCTTAGGTTAGTAGGGAATGGAAGAATGGTAGTCATAGTAGTTATACTTGTACACCATTCCTCCATTCCCTACTAACCAAAGGTAAGTTATTTGGGCTTCGTGTTTTCTTTGGCTTTAATTTAAGTCTTGGGTGCTGAATGTCTCGCACGAGAGGTTTTGGGGGAAGTTCGTGTTCTAGAGACGAGTGCATACATACGTTGGGCCCGGATGCCGCAGATCCAGAATCATGCGCACATCTGCGTAGGCGTGGGGTTTAATTAAGGTGTAGAGAACTTACGGATCGGGAAGTTTTGAGAGTTTGGGATCAAGAGGTTTAAGTAGCCATGCCAGACATGTTAGCTTACAGGCGTATGAAGCCTGAACCGATTCCACAGCTGCGTGCGGCCTTCCGATTCATGCACCGATGTCACCATATCCTAAATCCCTAAACCCTACTCCGTCTCAGCATCAGGCACCCTCTTAAGATGGATTTCAAGCAGGGCAGACCAATGATACCCTCGAAAGGACACCTATGCAAGGTCTAGGGCTTTAGGGTTTACGGTTCAAGGTTTAGGGGCTTAGGGGCTTGGGGATCGACATGTTGCACATGCGTCGCATCGGTATGCAACGGAGGTTTAGGTGTGCTTAGATATCGAGATGCTCAGAACACATAGACCTCAACACGTTCCCTGGGGCTCCAAGTATACAAGTAGTACCTACTTTAAGGGCCTAAAGTCTATAAATAATACCTACTTTGGGCTATTTGGGAGTTTCAGAAAATTGGGGGGGTACCTTATTTGGGGGTCCTTATAATAAGGATCCTACTATTTAGGGTACTCTATTAGGGTCCCCTATTTTCGGAAACTCCCATTTGGAGCCCCAAGGGGTTTCTAAACCAGGGACGGTAGCATCGTCCGCTCCGTTTTTGCCGCAGCATCATGTCTTCAGATGCTTCTGCAGGGCCTTGGACAGCCAGACAGGGGATTTGCTATGACAGCTTGGATAGTTTCGGGCTTGCGGGGCATGCCGCAGAATAAAAGTTGCAAAAAGGGAGCCCTAAGGACCAGTATTGCTAATCATTCAGGCCCCTAAGTTAATATAAGGCGCCGAAACCCTCTACTTTACGAACTTGTCGGTTCGCTGTACATTCATGCTGTCAGTTTGTCGTGGTGGACCGACCACAGTGTGCCTTTGTAAGCGGCCAGCGCATTGCGATACATCGCTTCTGTCGGACTCTGGTGCGAGTGCAGCCAGTACACGAACGATGCGTGACCGCCTGCGGTATGTAGCTCTAGATACGCGTCACTGCTTGTAATCTACCGCTTGGGTTTGGATGTCTACCCTATGCTTCCAAACAGATCACCGAGTTCGAGAAAAATAGCGACGAGGCACTGCATGAGTTACAGTTCCCCAGCTGGTTTGGGATCGCAGGAGGCTACGAAAAGTGGACCATGGTAATTTAGCATGGTGGCTATGGTGCACTAGCGCTCCAGTTACCTAAACATTAGGTTGCTCGGGTACATTGGTTAGTAACCTACTATTCAGGTAACTGGAGCCGTAGGGGCGGTGATGGTGGCATCGTATTTCGTTGCGATAAAGACGTTCCAGGCCGCTCGAGGTGACGGTTTGTTGAAAGTCGGCGTATCTTGTTGCTGGTTCATTAAGGGTGTTTGTAAATGATGCAAGGCTCGACAAACATTAAAACTAGAGCCTGTTTGTTCTGAACATTCCTGGTAATCTCCTCGTGCTTTCGCGAAACTTGGGCTTCCCCAGTACACACTCACACAGTCCGTTCGATTCCGGATGCTGCTAGTCAGAAAAGTCGCGTCCCAAAACCCTCAAGACCCTGGACCCCAAATGAGATCGCAGCCACGGCGCCAAGACACCACCACGGAAGTCGAAGCGGAAAAACAGCAATAGCGCTGCCCTCGCTTGGCTGTGTCTACAATCTACATGTACACATTAGGGGCTCCGGATCTTTTGCCGATAGATTTACTTATGAAGTTATTGCAGGAAGCCGAAAGACGAAGCGGGTCCCAAACAGTTCAACGTCACGAATGGTCTCCAATACTACAGGTTCGAGTTGAAGTTCTCAGTTAAAGCGTGCAGTCAAGAGCAGAGCAAAGCACTATAGGAGGTCACAAGGTACTAGGTTTAGCAGGCGTCTGAGATGCAGGGAACAACCACGTGTGGGAGAAAAACCTGCATCCAAAAGCGTGCAGTGCTCAGCTTCAGACACAGTCGGCACGGCGATCACTGCATTCTTCGCCTCACGGGATTCCAGAGCAAGTCGCGGCGTAGCTTCTATTAAGAGTATAGCTAGCCCTTGCATATAAACAACAAATTATACATAGTATATATATATATATATACATGAATAGAATATGCAGTACCGTGTGATTGTCTGTGGCAAGGTAGGTCGGTGGGTTAGCACAGTTCGCATGTTCTTCCCATCGATTTTGCTTGGTTTTGCTGTGCACCTGCTGGCTGTGGAACCGAACAAAGGGAAACATGGGCTTAACAATACGCCCTTTCTTTCTTTATGTCTCTCTCTCTCTCTCTCTCTCTTGGTAAATCTTGAACCCTGAATCCAATACACACATTCGAAAACTCGTTAGTCGAAGGCCAGGCAGCAAAATGGCGCGCCGCATGTCGGCGTGGGCGATGCAGGCCACGGCCGTGCTGCTGCCCCTAGGTGGCGAATTAAGGCTTCGGTTTCGGCTGGAGAATTCAGGGTTCGTAAGCTCTCAAGGATCTCGGGTTTGGGATATAAGGTTCAGGTCTCAACCTTTGGGGCACAGATGCAAATCACATCCAGGCAGTGCTTGTACTTACCTCTGCTGCTGTCTATCTGTGCATGCTTGCACTATCACTACCGGCCAAGTACGTTACAATCTGGGGTCTTGCTAACTTGATAAGCTTCTTCGGAAAAGAACATCCCCTCATGTCAACATGTGCCAAGTTCCCAGTATTTGCATGCCTGTGTCACTGTGTGTTTCCTTCACACTTCCCCACACTATTATCCCATGACGGTGAACATGCCTGAACACATGTGTCCACAAATTCAGCCTGCCAGAAGTATTCAGTATAGCTGCAAGCCAGAATGATATACAAACATGCAGACAGATAAATCTGCATTTATCTATCAACCAAACTATCTCTCTGTCTACATATGAGTATACCTGCATGGGAACAGACTGCTAGAAATGCAGCAGACTGTCTAGTTTCCTACACAAGTTCATGTGTGTCTGGGCAAGGGGGTACAAAAGCATGTAGGCGTGTAGAAAAATGGGAGCGATGTAACGAGAGGTCCGCACATGCTGGTACGTACACACGTGCGTGCGTAATAATATGTCTGCGTGCATACATACACACATACACATACACATACACATACACATACACATACACATACACATACACCTGTGTGTACATATATATATATATATATGTACATGTCTATATACATATGCATATATATATACACATGTGTGTATGTATATATATATATATATATATATATGCATATGTATATTGTGTATGTCTTTCCATGTGTATAGATATACACCTGTGCATATAACATATACAGATGTTGTACATGAAACTGTATATGCATGTACGCATTCATACATGCATACATACACAATTTCATATAACTATGTCGACCTACGAACGCATCCAGGTCCATGCATCTATGTATGCACGAATGCCGATCTACACAAAGTACAAAGGAGCCCCGAACCTGTCCGGTGCTGCTGACCAGGGACAGCAGCGTGCTTCCTGGGAAGCAGGTGCGCAGGTTGAAGCTGGACGGCTTCAGCCCTAAACGCGAACCTCTTCTGGATATGGAGCTGGGACTTAAAGTCTGTAGTTTTCAGGTATGCAGGTTCTACGGTCTATGATGGCATGAACATCTAGGAACTCGAGGGTTTAGGGTTTCGAAATTTGGCTCCTATACCTAAGCTCTACACCCTGGAATCTCTGGAACCCGACAATGCGAAAGTCTCTCCTGTGCGTCAGCAGCTCGCGCATCGTCCGGGCCAGGCGGAAACCGGCCTTCAAAACGAGGTCCTGACTGACAGTAAGTAGAGCGGCCTTAGGCTTATAACAAGGAGCCCCAATAGCAGTAAATATTTGCCTAGGAGCCTATGTTAGTTGAGGGTCTAGGGAACTGGGCACATGCGCGGTTGTGGTGGACCGTTATGGCAGAGGCTCAAACCTCAAACCCTATTAAATAGCTCGAAACTGCACACAAGTTGCTGGACATCAAACACGGGCGACGATAGAAACAGCATGTGCTGCTGTAGGTCTGTGGCTTTGCAGTTCAGGACACGTGCTGCACTGTAATTAACCTAATCCTGCATGCCGCTCTCAATCAAACCCTGACGCATGCACTACTTTCCATCAGCTAAAATCCCTATATAGCCCATACTCATCGTAACTCAAACCACACGTGTTATCATGCATCCCAATATCGGGATCTTCCTAATCATTAATTAATAGCACATCTGAAAAACAGATGCTACTCAGTCCCCTAAACCCTGAACCCGAAACCCTAAAATCACCCTGGACCCTCAATGTTAAACCCCTAAACCCGCAACCCGAAATCGAGGCACTCAGAGCCCTCGCTTCAGACAGCTCCTCGTAGAGCGCGCGCCAGCGCTGAAGGATCTCTTCGTTGAGGCGTAGGGCAGCTCCTGGTTTGGGATGTGAGTTTGAGCTTTTGCTTGGTTTGTGGTCAGGGTTCAGCTAAGCTTTTTGAGCTAGGAGTCCTAGGTTTGGGATTTGGTTAGAACATACAGGATTATAGGTTTAGTTTGGGGTATAATAGAGGGTAGTAGGGGGGAGTGAGGGTCTTGGGATTGGAGGATTGATGCTTCAGGGCTTCAGGAGTGGGTTGAGGGTTTAGGGTTTATTGGCCTTCCGGAGGACTTTTCTTCCGTCTCTCCAGATTTCTGGTCTTCGAATTTTAGGGTTTAGGTTTAGGTTTTGCGGCTTTAGGGTCACGATAGAAGGTCTTCGGGCTTTGGAATATCGGGTTTAGATTGCAGGGCCTGGGCGGACTTATGTAAGGAAAATCTTGCTGCGAGGGTCCAGACTCTAGGAAGCAGTTCGAAGACGACTTTCTGCTGAAGGGGTTTAGGGTTTAGGGGCTTTTAGCGCTGCTTTTAAGGATTTTGCGGGGTGTGCAGGGCCTCAAACAACCGATGGATCATACAAACACTGGAGGTTCCAGTCTTCGGGTATAGGTTTTAGGGCTTAGTGTTTCGGGAAAAAATGCATAGACAGAAAATGACAAGGAATCAGACTGACTGAAGAAATAACACGGCGTTCCAGCAACGAAACATATGCGAAGATCCCAAATTGCATGCCTTGGCTATGAAGTGTTCCCCAATGGTCTGCCTCACACCCGAATTCCTGCGATGGAGGCTTTTGCGTGAAGGCTGCACACACCTGCCAATTTTCTTCCCAGTAAGGCATGTAAAGCAACTCAACAAGCCCCAACCAGACGGCCCAAAGCCTAAACCCTACAAACCTGGGTCCAAATAATTTAAACTCAAAACTTACCTCGGAGTCCAGTTACTTACATGCGAGTTCTTGGGCTATGGGTACTATAAGGTTGATTTAGGGTTTAAGGGACCGCAGCCGAAAATACAGGCAACTGAGCTCCCAGGGGTTGAACCCTAAACCCTGGACCCTAGACTCTAAACCCTAAACCCTGGACCCTAAACCCTAAACTCTAAACCCTAAGCCCTAAACTCTTACTGTTAGCTCTTGCACATCGAGGCACCTGAAGCGCCAGCCAGCTCAGGAAGCCCGTAGATCTCGCGGCAGGCCTTAAGAGCAATCCTACCATACGGTTGATGATATAAATCCTGGGGTTCCTTTAAAGGGAGCTGTAAGGATATGTTTAAGAGATCTATAGGGTTTTATGACCTAGGGATATAAATCCTGCATTACCCAGAACAAGGAAAATAACATAATTCTCAAAGTCTAAGGTCCTTAAGGTATATAGTGCAGGATCCGTTTATCATCAGCCGTAAGATTTAGAGTTTAGGGCAGATCACAACAAAACTCCATATATGCTAACAGCTGCTATATAACATTATGGAATTGGGTCCCAAAAGACCATCCTTACTAGGGCTTTGGGAGACCGCAACAGTAGTATATGTGGACCCTCTTGCAACTAATATGATTAATATGGGCCTTCTGAAGAACTAGATAGAACAGGGTTTCCTTGAAGGTTCCTGTATCGGTTACTACAGGGATCTCATGTCGGGGATAGAAGTCATTAGGGGCCTGGATAGTCAGAACAGAGCTTTGGACGGTTTAGGGTTTAGGGTTTCGTGTTTAGGGACTATATTGTACTACCGAATCGGTATACTAGGCACTATGGGGAAATACATTAAGCACTTTTGGTTCTGACCTATTCGGCTCCGGCGTACCACCGTGGTGGATAAGAGAGCGATTCAACCCTTGACCCTGAAGCCTAAAAGACTAGCCACGGCCTCCTATTGAGGCTTTTATACAACTTATTATAACATAAATATAATGTTGCCAAACTTTACTGAGTGGTACATCGAGCCTTCAACGGATGTTCCTCTTAGCCATACCCCCGGTTTCGCATTCGGGGCCTAATTAGATCACAAAAAGTCCACGGAGGGTTGTCGGGGTTTGTACTATTTACTATTATCTGCAGTACAGCGGTCTGCAGTTTATGGCCTGACGGTACCCTAAACGCTAAACCCCTAAACCTTAAAACTTTACAAGGAAACCCTAGAAACTTAAAGTTCAGGACTACACTCAACTTTGCAAGCTTACAGGGCTGAACGGCTCTAAACCCTGGCTCCTCGACGCCTGAACCCTCTGAGCCCTACAACTCCAAGTGTTTTCCGCCCTGATTATGAAGCCTGAAGCCTCAGCAAGCCTCAGCACCCTGAACCCATAATCATGAACTACAGCCGTCATTCCCTAATAAACCCTAAACCCTTAGTTCATCCTGAAGTCCTCTGAGCCCAACATCCCGCTGAATCCTAAACGCCAAGTAGCGAGCGCAGACAACTCCCGACCTTAGGTGACTGTACTCTGCGAGCGATGCTTCTGGGGAGTCCCAGAGGCTCTGCAGCTAGCGATCTGTCCGGACATATGGCTGATGGACAAAATCCGGCATGACCCTAAGGACTCTAAGCTATGGGAACTATGGTATATTCCTTATAATGGGAATGCAAGGTTTTTGTCCATCAGCAGTATGTCTACAAAAAATGTATAGTTGAAATTGTCTATCTATCTCTCTATGTATCTATCTATCTAACTAATTATCTATCCATCTGTCTATCTATGTATCTTATGTAGTGTATACATACTTCCAGACCACAACATTTACTCTGAACATACAAATTACTCCGAGCTACGTTCAGAAAAGGATACACATCTGTTTAGCCCAGCCACCCCACTCAGCAAAAACGTCGCTGGGGTGGACGTTGAATGGCTCCAGTTTCTGCTCGCGCTTTAGCCTGATCGGAGCTTTGTTCTTATTCACTGTTGTTGTTGGTGGTGGTGGCGGTGGTGGTGGTACTGGTGCTGGTGCTGGTGGTGCTGCTGCTGCTGCTGCTGGTTGAAGGGACCGTGTTGTCATGAATGACGACTGCGGAAGTAGAAAACACGATCCTCAAGCAGAACAACCTTTCGGCAGTGCGTTTCAATTGTTTCGATTCAACATTCTTAGACTAATGCCTAGAAAAGCTAAGGGTGTAGGCCTTGGCTATGGGATCCTTGCAAGTTGAAAGCAGAAATACAAGGCTTTAAGTTTAAGTGCTAAGCCATCCCTAGAGACGCCTAGGTTTCAATAGTTCATGCTTGTCTGAGTACCGGAAACAGTCAGGGTTTAGGGTTTAGGGTTTCGGAAACAGTCAGGTTCCAGGAACAAAGCTCATTCAGAGTGCAATAGTTGGGACATCGGACGGCTGTCATGGTTGGGCGCGGGCCGTCAGCAGTTTCAAGTACCTCTCCGGACACTCCCACTAACGCTGTTGTAGGGGCCTGAATGGTTAGGAGTAGGGCTTGGATGTGCATCGTACTGTAACTTCCTATATATAACTATAACAATCAGAAACCCTATCGCAAACAAAAATAACAAAACCCTGTACAAGAACCCTAAACCCTAAAGCCTCAACCCCGAACCCTATACCCTAAACCCTCGAAGCCTTACAAGAATCAATTATAGAACCCTAACTCGCCCTTTAAAGGAACCCCCCGAAAGGGGTCTAGACTCCACTTGTTGGAGCTTTGGCCTGCTAGCGGCGGCTTGGAAGTTGTGCATGTGGAAGAGCAGCGGCAACTCCTGCTCCTTGGCTGCGCTTTCGGGGCTTAGGGAGTTCAGGGGTTTAGGGGTCTGGGGGTTTAAGGGGTTTAGGGGGTTTAGGGCTTGGGGGGTTCAGGGGTGTAGGGGTTTGGGTTTGGGGGTCTGCGGGTGATGGGTTTAGGGGTTTAGGTTGGGTACTGCCCCCATACAGTAACAATCGATAATAGGGCTACTTTTAAGGTCCTAATATATCTATATTTGAATATGATCCAACTGTTACTGAGTGGGGGCAGTACCCAAGGTTTAGGTTTAGGGTTTAGGGGTGCTACGGTTGATGATATAAATCCTGCATGACCCATAATAAGGAATATGCCATAATTCCCATAGTTTGGGATCCTTAAGGTAATGCAGGATTTATATCATCACCTTAAACCCTGAACCCAAAAACCCTACAGATCCCTTAAAGGAACCCCTTAAAGGTACCCTTATAGATCCCTTTAAAGGAACCCTAGGATTTATATCATCAACCGTAAAGGGGGCTTTCAGTGGATTGCTCCCAAGGTGCCCAGAAGTCGTAGAGGCTCTGCTCCTCTCGGAAAGGACTTCTTGTGGATCCCAATGATTGGGTTTGGGGTTTTGGGTTTAGGGTTTTAGGGTTTTAGTGTTTTGGGCTTTAGGGTTTTAGGGTTTTAGGGTTTTGGGGTTCAGGGTTTTAGGGTCTAGGATGAGATCTAGAGTTTAGCCTTTCAGATCATATGTATAACTATTTCATGATGAAAGAGTGTGCTCACAAAACAAGAACCTCAGGCAACATCCGAACTACGAGACCATCGTCTTTCACGACCGGGCATTGGCGAACCAGGGGCGTGCATTACAGGTTTGTAATTGTAAATATTGCCTACATTGCTGAACATAACCAAATTACGGTCGAAGTGTCGAAGCCGCAAACCGGAACGAAGGGGTCTTTAAATTTCGATAGGGTAGATTTCCATAGGGTTTTGGTGCATATTATATTCTAGTATCGTGACATGTGGCAAAAAGGGATAGGAATACTACTCATTCCAGCCACGGAACTAAATTGTTTCAAGAGGTCCTGCGACTCAGGGTTCGATGAGTCAACTGCCGACCCACTTTGCAACCCACCAGAGCCAGAACCCACGCAATCCAACTGCTCAAGCACAAGGTGCGCACGAATTTCAATTGGTTTCGCGGGGTATAGTGCGATGCGACAAATACTATAAGGGGATGTTCTTACAATTTTTCCAGGCCCCCACTGTTCTGCACTTGACTCTCCAGCGACTCCATACCAATTTCAAGCATTCAAACCGTCTGCTGCGCTACAGGGTTGGGTGCATCTCCAAACTTTTTTGGGTTTCGGATTAGGAATTCGGGGGCTACTTACTTTTTTATATGCTTCGAAACCCGATAAATCCGTACAAACTCTAGTAGAAACACCATACACTTCAAGACCCCAGAAACTTGCTTGGCCCGTCCTTGCCGTTGTGAATCACGGTGAGATTCCTGCCGTAGTCGTGCTCGCCACGGAGCCAGTGCAGTGGCTGGTGCATGTCCTGCCCAAAGGGCCACTGGCTGTAGTGCTGTTTGGGGTCTAGGGAGTCTAGGGCCCTTCATTTTGCACAAATAATTAGGGAATAAACCTTACATCAAATCCTTCAGGTAAATTGCACAACTGATGGGTTTTGGAATCTCTGGGTTCGGGGTTCAGCCAGGGCGAAGGGCTAGGCAGATAAACTCTCCTCCTAAGATTCTCCAACCCCTCCCTTAAGGACAAACCCTAAACTTCAACACCTACATCTCCAAATCCAAAACCTCAAGATAAAATCAAGTCTAAGCCCTCATTCCCCAAATCCCGAGAGCCCACAGCCGAAACGCGAAGTCACCGAACCTCTGCAGTATCCTTTCGGCACCAAGAAAAAACACTGAAAGGAGCCCCTGAAACCTAAACCCTACAAACTTTCCGATTTCCCAACGCAAAAACCTATAATTAAGCTGAAAACCTAAACCTAAACCCGAAACTGAAACCTACACCTAAACCCAAAACTGAAACCTACACCCAAAACTGAAACCTAAACCTAAACCCAAAACTGAAACCTAAACCTATTTCCGAAACTAGAACCTAAACCTATTTCCGAAACCCCCCAAACAAAGACTGAGAGGGTCGAGCTGCTCCGAGGAAAATCGCCAGCCATCGCAGCTCATCCTCGGGGGACGTAAGCATTTCCTGAGCTGCGCATAGACGGGCCTTAATGGGCTTTGGGTTTTTTTGTGTTGTTTTATGGGCTCTTTTCCGTCTGCACAAGCGTCCGAAACCCCAACGGTTGAGGGGTTTGGGGTTTAGGGTTTGGGGCCTTATCCTATGGCATCATAAGCAGGACCCTCCAAGTACCCTCAAAGAGGGGTATATGGTCGCAAAAAAATGCGCATTTAGGGTCCAATCGAGGGTAGAAGCTAATCTAGACAATGCAGGTTGAGATCTCAGAGTGTCGGCACTATAAGGGGATCCTCTGCAAACGTATGTCGCATAGAGGCTAGATGGAGAGTCCAGGAATGGCTTGTAGGTGTTGAGGTTTACCTACAATTGAATTTTGTTGGTAATGGTACCGGGCTATATAATTTGATGTCTGATACCACCTGACAAGATTGAACCCGATACATCGCCAAGGCTCCATGAGCTTAGCTTTCTGTGTTATTTAACATACTCTCCAGGGTTTGGGGGGCCCATTTTTAGCCCTAGACAGAAGCGAATAAACCCTTGAGCCTAATTCCCTGAAGCCGCTGTAGGCCTCACAATTCCGTCAAATGCTATAGACCCAGGGAAAAACTTTAAGTTATCGTAACCCTAGGGCTCCAAGTATGCGAATAGTACCTACTTGTGGGTCGAAAGTCAAAAACAGTACCTACTTTGGGCCAATATAGGGGCCTGAATAATTAGAATAGGAATAGGTTTTTGGGACCCACTATACTATACTTATAATTAGGAACCCCCCAAAACAGTCTTAGTGATTATTTAGGACCCTATACTAGGCTGTTCAGTAACCCACTGGGAAAAAGTATAGACTTTTCGAGGCTTCTGGTTTTATAATAGGAACCCAGAGACATGAAAGTAAATAAGTGCACCACTGAACAGCCTGGTACATTATTTGGAGCCCCAGGGTAACTAGAACCAGCCCGTTCTGATTCCAGGAAAGGAGTCGGCGTAGCCACTCAGCTCGGGATTTGCCTGCAAGTGCTGTTTAGACTTACAGTAGAAGCCGAAAAGTTGGAAACCCAATAGCTTCAATCCTTAAGATAATGTATAGGGAATCCCAGCACTGTTTGGCCTTAATCCGGTTCCAACTTTATGGGGTTTACTGTGTAGGGTTTATTTAGGGTTGCCTGCTGAGGGGCTCCGCAAGAATTCTAGAAACTAGTTCTAGGGACGTCCCGGTGTGGGGTTGAAGGTTGTAGGATGTTGAATGTTAAGGTTGTAACGGGATTCGGGGTTCGGATGTAGCAAGCGTTCAGGGCTGAGGGTTTTCAGTTTCTCAAACTGGGGTCCCAAGTTAAGGGCAGCCTAGAGAAAGGATCCTGCTACTCGGCGTTTCTTACTTGATGGCTGCGTACCCTAGCCCAAAAAAAAATTAACCTTTTCAGTTATGGTAGGATTATACAAACCCCGACAGGTTAAAGGCTGCCTACTCAGCTACTGGGCTTGAAGTCGCCTGTACGCTTCATAGGGCTCCCCTGAGCCTCAAAGGGGAAAAGGAGGGACCCTTAATGGGGACCCCTACCCTATAATGGGCTCTTTAGTGGGTATATAGTGGCTGTATTATGGGTCTATACCTAGGGGTCCTTATTCGGGGTCCCTCCTTTTACCCTTTGAGAGACTCGTACAGTCTTTTTTTGGCGCAGTAGTTGTGAGCACACAGCCCTTCATATTAGACCCTGACCTTACATCATGCAGTAGAACTAGAAATGCCAAACCAAAAGTCCTCATTGTCAATGTGAACCGAGAAATGCGAACATCGTAAACCCGATACAAGTTCTGCCCTGAGACACACGACACCCTAAACCGCATACCCGCAATCATACTAAACCCGAACCTCAAAGCCGGGCTAGAGAACACCCGTGAAGTAGCACTATCCGGAGCCAAATGCGAAAGCCTTGAGGTCTGTCCAGAAGCGCTCCACCTTGCCTGAAGCCATCCTGGCAATGTTTACCCAAAGAGTTCCCAAATGAGGGAACACTGAATGCATCTCAAATCGATTCCTGGGTTTAAAGCTGGCACATCATGAGACATACTTCCCGAACTTCGAGCTTTCGACCCTTATGCACGGATCAACTCCCAACACAGAAGATAGGCACTCGAACCGTGCAAACACGGGGAAATCCGCAAGGGCACTTACATTATATGTTGACACTTGGGTTTAGGGTTAGGGTTTAGTCTATGCAGTGTCTCCAAAAAACAGGATGCTACAAAGGCCGACAACAACGCCAAAGCCATTGATTTGGTTCGGGATCGGGCCATCAGGATACCTGAGCCCCCAAAACACTAGGCCGACACCCTAAACCATAAACCCCATAAGCTACACCATGTAACTGTTTACATATGAGCAAATTAAACTAGATCATTGGAGATGGGGCGTAGGCGACCGAAGCTCTAACACTTGCAACAAGGCATTGCAAAAAACAACGTAGTCGTAACGCAGAAGCCATACCTAATAACAACAACTAAGCTTCGGGCTTAAGGTGGCCAGCCACAGAGGTTGAAGAGGGCAGCAGATGGTCAAGACAGAGGCTTCGGCATTGCTTGGGACTCTGGTCAGCACAACCTCTTGCATGCAAAGTTTCTTAGTTGCTGAGTTCATAATCTCCCAACAGTGTACACTTTCAGTTTTATAGTGAGTAGTAATATCCCAAAAAGCGTAAAGTGTATCCACTCAGCTATCAAGGTTTCCCAAAACGCCAAAACCTCACAGCTGAGCGCCTGATGAAGTCCGTCTTTGGGAACTCCACCAGAAGCATGTCATGGGCAAACTTTTCGAATGTGTAGGCAAGTGCACCTGGAAGACAATATGCTAGTAGTACATACTGGGAGTGTGTCCACGATTTGTCAACCCTAAACCCTTTTGAACCCTGCACCCCAAGCCCGTATATTCCCCGGACCCTCTTGAACCCTGCACCCCAAGCGCTTATATTCCCTGGACCCTCAAAAACCCCAAAGCCCTATACGGTTGCAAAGAAGGCTTCGCCGGAGCTTTGTAGTCTACATGGGAGTTTCCGAAAATTAGGGTTCCTTTTTGGGTCCTCAATACAACACGGCACGTACTATTTGGGGGTACCCAAAAAGGGACCCTAGCTTTGACAAACGTCTACATGAATACACTAGTGAAACTCTGGGGTTCAAGATAATCCCATCCTCGAGGCTAACCTTGCAAAAAACAGTAGATTTTATAGACCAAGGAAGGCCTTGGTCTTCAACATCGAACCCTTAAACCTTACAGTATAAGCCCAAAAGTTGGAAACAGAATAGCCTCAATCCTTAAGAGTCATGTATAAGGAATCCCAGCACTATTTGGCCTTAGTCCGGTTTCCAACTTTATGGGGTGTACTTTAAGGGTCCATGTGCCCGTAAGGGTTCCTTTCAGGGGTTCTACGAAGGTAGCACAAGGGTTTAGGGACATTTAGGGTATAAGTGCCCCATGTAGCATGTACTTCGGCGTTCATGCAGTCCCTACATAGGTACTTAAGGGCCGAAATGTCTACCATATTGGCGCATAGACCCTTAGGCTAGGAGCTCGACAACCTGCTCCCTGGGCTTCCATCGTACCCTAAGCCGAGAGGCACAGCAGTGAAAAATGGCCTCAGTCGTCAGAGAAAGCATATTTGGGGTTTGGGGTTTATAGGGTTTGGAGTTTAGGGTAGTCACCGGGTAGTTGTCACAGAAAGAGTAGGACTTCGGCTTTGCGGTTTAGGCTCGCCCATTCAGCAGAGAAAGCATAGGATAGGATGGGATGGATTAAGGCTTTGTGTGCAGAGCTGTTGGGGGTTGCCTGAGTTTGTCCAAGGTTTGGGGATCAGTGTTTGCGACTCCAGGCTGTTAGGGTCTACAGATGAGGTTCAGCCTTGAGGTAGACATGTGCGTAGTTGTCAAAATTATGGTCCCTTGTTGGGTACCCTAAATATTAGGTGCCGTATTCTACGAAGGACCCAAAAAGGGACGCTAATCTTGACAACCACCCGTGTGCGGAAGTTTGACAGGCCCTATTCGTGTAGGTCTGGCAGACATAGCACGGGTAGAACATGTGATTTTCTCTTCCTCCGCAGCGGTCCAGCAATGTATGACATTGTCACACATGCAGAACATGCCAGTTTCGCACAGACACTTCTGTGAGCTGCTTCGCCCAACATAAAGGTGGTACTTGAACCATGAGCGATTTGACACTAGCACCCTGGAATTCAACTGAAAAAGCCTGCAGGCCGAAACACATATTCAAAAACAGGAGCCCCCAAACCGCCACAGCCATGACAGCCTGAACCCAACCCCAAAACCCTGAACCCTAAACCAATCACAGCTCAAGGCACTGCTTTCGGAGCCATCACAGTGCACCTGGCGCCAAAATGAGTCTGACACCCCTTTTAGACGGAGATTAGGGTCTGAGCATTCTGGGTTTTGAGGCTTACTTCGAGCATCATGAGGATTTAGTACCAGGGTCATCAACAAGGTAAGTGTACTGATATCTACCTAAAGCCACAGCTAAGGACTTATTACCTCACGTACTAAGTCCTTAGGATTATTGTGAAGTATCGGTTGTCGGAGACTGGATAAGAATGGCACACCTCGGGCAGCCGGACTAGTCTTGCTTAACAGCCGAAACCTTTGCTCCCTTTCTCGAATCACACAACCCTAACCCCAAAATAAAAGCCTGAAGGCTACAATCTCCAGCCCTAGACTATAACTGTGCCGTGCCTGACCGTTGATGCCGATGCCGTCCTGGCTCTGCACTCTTGGCGACGTGGCTTTGGGTCAATAGAGTTTACAGGGTATTCCCCAAAAACTCCATGTACCTTTATAGTACATACTTAAGCCTTAAAGGAGTCCCTATATAGGTACTTTAAGGCCTAAGTATATACTATATGGGTACATGGAGCCTAGGGTTGCTGGTAGGCCTGCAGACCAGACACTCTGGGCGTTTACTATCCATCACCGCGGAGGATCACTGTGGACATCAACGTCGAAACTCAGAACCCATCGCCTCGAGTCGACAAATACCTCCCAGTATACAAACAGTATTTACTTTGGGTGCTATTGTTCTAACGTCTATAAAGAGTACATGCTCTTTTTTTTAACCTACAATGGCGGCCTTTCTCCTGCAGCAGCCTGCCCTCCGAGGGCCTGTAGAAGTGAGACATGCTTTGGGGTCTGAGGTCTACATTTAATCCCTACTTTGGGCTGTTTGGAGCCTTGAGGCGTTTGGATACCGATGTCGGATTTTCGCTCCCGGATGGGACTTCATCGACTGCCGTTCTGATAGTAGGAGGACGTACATGCTCGAAAACTTCATGTCCGCTAGTTATGACTAGTTGTAAACAGATGTACAGATATACTGAAATATATGAATACATTAGTATATACATACATTAAATGCAGAAAGAGAGAGAGAGAGAGAGAGAGAGAGAGAGAGAGAGAGAGAGAAAGAGAGAGAGAGAGAGAGAGAGAGAGAGATGGATGGAAAGAAAGATAGGTAGGCAGGCAGATAGATAGCCTTGGACATATATAGAAAGACAGAGAGGTACAGAAAGCACAGACAGATAGACAAGATAAAGAGATAGATGGATTGGATAGGATACATAAATATAGATAAGTTAGATAAGAGACAAAGGATAGACGGATGGATGGATGCGAGATGAAGCAGATAGGTTGGTAGATCGAGAAATGGAGGTTGACGTACACTACAGACAGAAGCACCGAGAGCCTGAGCCAGACAATCCATCGGCCATCTTCGAGTAAACCCTATATGTTGCATAGTTCCTCAACCATAAACCAGAAAACAAAAATCAGGCCCACCCCCTAAACACAACCCTTAACCTTACAGTCCAAATCTCAAAGCCCCTCCGAGCCGGGTCCTGGCATTTCCACTCCGGCGTTTGCGAATGGAACTGGCAGGCTGCGCTGTTCGGCGCTGCAGCTTGCGCCTGTAAGTAGTCGTAGAAGGAGCAGTAGTAGTAGTCGTCGTCGTGGTGGTGGTAGCAATAGTGATAGTAGTAGTAGTAGTAGTAGTAGTAGTAGTAGTAGTAGTAGTGGTAGTAGTAGTAGTAGTAGTAGTAGTAGTAAGTAAGTATGTAAGTAAAGGAGACCCTCGGCCCCAAATCCCCAAAACCGGGTAGTGCCAGTGGCAGTGGTACTTGTAAGGGTTTTGCAGTTCTGAAGTTCCGAATAACCTACTATGCAGACCCCAATCAATCCGTTAAAGGACCCTTGAAGGAACCCTTAAAGGAATCCTTTTCCCTGGGGATCAAAATAGCCCCCAAAAGCCTTATGTAGTATGGTCTTTGGGCCCAAAAGCCTTAATATATGAGTCCTTAGATCCCTAGGGTCACTGATCCCACTTCCAAGTAACTCTCCGACACTGGCATCTGCGCATGAAGCTGAAACGCATCAACCAAAGGCCGAATTAGAGCTCCAAGCCCTAAAGCCCTAAACCCGAACATCCTAAATCCCCGATTGCATACAATTAATTATGCCCTTCAATCCGTACCACCCTCAAAGCTAAAGCTGCGCTAGACTCGCACAATCCTATGTTGGTTTGCGGGCATTTTGCGGCAAAGTGATGCCCGTTGGCTTTCACGGACAAGCATATAAGGCAAATTATCATGTAAGGTTTATGCGTTAGGCTCTCGCGTGAAAGGATAAAAGTGTATAGGGTATACAGTTTACAATACGGGAATTTCCGAAAATAGGGGACTGCAAAAAAGTACCCTAAACAGTAGGATCCTAAAATTATAAGAAACCCCCAAATATGGTACCCTTAGTTTTCGGAAACTCCCATTATAGTCAAGAAGCATCCAGAAGGACCTTGAACCCTAAACACTGCCCTTAACCCCCTAAACCCTAAACCCCCTAAACCCTAAACCCCCGAAACCCTAAAACCCCTAAACCCCCTAAAACCCCTAAACCCCCTAAACCCCCTAAACCCCCTAAACCCAAAACCCCTAAACCCCCTAAACCCTGAACCCCCTAAACCCTAAAACCCCATCACACTGAGCCCTCTATAGAACCCTTGTAGATCCCTGTAAGGAACCTTGAAAGGATCCCCTTTAAAGGGTACCCATCACACGAGTGAGGCACGTGGAGCTTCTGCTCGTAGTGGGCAAAGTCCACGAGATCTCCATGAAGCAGGTCTCGCACCTGATAATTAGACTAGGGTTCCTTAAAAAGGGGTCTATAAGGGCTACTATAAGGGATACTATAAGGATACCATAATAAGGGGTCTGAATAGTTAGAGCAGGGTTTTGAGTTTATGATACTACAATTCTACACACCATTACAGTCCACAAACGCCGCCAGCAAAACCGCAACCCAGCACAGAGGAGCATGCCCTGCTCCCTCATAGGGATGTAGTTCTTTATAATCCGAGCCACTGCCACCCCTAAACCCTAAACCCCTAAACCAATGAATTGCAACTTGTAAGATGTGTTTACTGGAGGCCTCTCTGAGCAAGCCCTGAACAAAACGCCTTGAAACCGCCCGAGCTCGGGAGTAGAGAAAGTAGAGCCGACGCCGATAACTCAGAAACCTAGTTATCGGGACAGAAAAATTATGAGAGGCTTCTGGTGTATGTGATAACTACCATAGTTATAATCAAAAACCCTACGGAATTTCATGACTAGTAATTACTGATTTAGCTTAGTTAACCCTGCATTGAGTTCTCAATCCAGAAATTCGGTGCCTGCAGCCGATTCGATTCTGTAAGGACCTTTTGCGCGACCATCGCCACATGAAGGTGGCCCGTGCCTACAGCTAGGGTTTGGACTCTAGGTTGCTGAATAATCCCTACTTGGAGAATCATGGGACTTAGTAAGCACGGTTCTAGGTACCTTAATTGGCGTTAGAAGTAATTATAAGTATAGTTACCTTAATCCTAACCCTAGTTACTAAGTCCCATGACCCTTTAAGTAGGTTGCTGAATAATCCCTAGGAGCCCAGTTGCCGATATGCCCATATAGTCATATAGTGTGCTACTGTTCCTGAATGTCGTGTTTGAACTGTAGTACCCATAGCCCGGTAACTTACCATATGTTTAACTGGGCCCGTAGAGAGTCATCCTGTCTAGAGAGCTGCTTCTGGCTGCGGGAGGACTGGAATTCGTTGTTTGTTGCTTGCCGAACAGACTGAGAGGCATCCGCTAAACCACAAGCCCTGTAGACCCTAAATGTGATGCTTGACACCAGCTGGCTTCCGACGAAACAGCGTGCATTTGCCGCACACCGAATGTGTTGTTGTGTGGTTTGTATTTGTTCGATTTGTTTTTCACGTCTCTTTCTTTCCGAAGGTAACGAGGAGGGGTTCCGTCCGCCCCCATCCCCATCCGCCCCCCCGACTCCGGTGCACCCCGTATTGGAACTACTGAACAAGCTGCAAAATCTGCCGCGGCTCAGTCACTGTCTCTGTCTCTCTCTCTCTCTCGCTCTCCCCCTCCTCTCTCTCTCTTCCTTTTGCTCTCTCTGTCTCTCGAAGAAGAAGAGTACACCTGACGGGGAGTTGTCTTGAAGTGCCTCTCGGCCGGATAAACTGCCACAGAAGATACAAGCAGCTGTTACTAATACCTGGTATGCATGTATGTGTCAAGGAACTGATTACACAGCCTACCCTAAACCCTATACAGCCCGAAGCCTCTAACCTCATCCATGAGCCCTGAAAACTATCTGCATCCTAATTGTCTAATTCTAAACCCTGAACCGTAATATCTCTCCTCTCAACCTATGACCGCTAAGCATCACGATAGCATGACTGAAACCTCAAACCCAAAATCAACAACCTGTAACCGGGGGGCCTCAATTTTAAAACAATGCTCTGCAGCATTCATGTGTCACTATAGTTGTAACAAGGAGCCCCAAGGAATACTGTTGGTAATTCATCAGGCTTTTACATAAAGCCCAAAGCCCTATAAGCACAACTTCCTAAACTCAAACCCTGGCCCAAAACCCTTAAAACCCTATAAGCCCAAACCCTGTAGTACCCGTACAGTAACCCTTATAGAACCCGTAGAGCCGTAGAGGAACCCTTAAAGGAATCCCAAAAGCCTGACAACCCTATAAACCCAAAGCCCTAGACGCATAACTCCAAGGGGAAACGGAGGGACCCTTGATGGGGACCTCTACCCTATAATGGGCTATAATAGCTATGTTAAGGGTATATATCGAGGGGTCCTGATTAAGGGTCCCTCTTTTTACCCTAAACCCTAAACCGGGGAATAACTTCAGCCTGACCATGCCCAGGCGGGTGCGACGAGGACAGAAAGCAGACAGAGGAGCCGCCACCGTGTTGGCCATGACATGGTTTAGGCGTTTACGGGTTTAGGGTGTAGGGGTTTAGGGTTTAGGGTTTAGGGGTTTAGGGTTTAGGGGTTTAGGGTTTTAGGGTTTTTAGGGCTTAGGGTTTACGGGTTTAGGCTCTATAGGGTTTTCGGGCTTTGAACCCGAAGGCTCTAGGTATGCATATGCTGCAGGGCTGTGATCCCGGGACTCTCAGGGCCGGAAATATGAGGCCTTAATCTATACTGAACTTAGAACCCTAGCAGAAACTAGAATTCTAGCTGTTTCTTAGGGATTATAATACCCAGAAATTACAAAAGATTTCTAAGTAGCCCCAAGTAATCATGAGAATCGAGTTTTGGGGTATATTATACGATCAATACAATATTACAAGAGGGAACCCCCAAAATGGTATAAACCCTAAACCCTACACCGTGGTATAGCTGAGTATTCAGCTCCCCATAGTACGCTTCTAGGATACCCAGTAACCTAAGAATAAAAAGGCCTCTCTTTTTGGTATTGGGTAACTTTATAAGGAACCTAGGACTACAAAAAGGGAATAAGGGTACTACTGGGCATCCTAGTCTATGATCCCAAAGGGCTCTGGGGATCTCTCTCGGCTTTGGAGGTTTGAGCCCTGGGCTCTTACCCTGGGGCTCCAGATAGCCCAAAGTAGGTACTACCCTAAGGCCCCAAAGTAGTTCCTTTTTGGGGTTCGTATATAGAATCCTACAAGGTAATCCCAAAAAGGAACTACTTTGGGGCCTATGGGTATTTATAGTTTAGACCCCTCAGTAGGTACTGATTGTATACTGGGAGCCCTGGGCTCGTGGGATTTTAGGGTTTAGGGTTTAGGGTTTAGGTGGCTTTGAAGCCAAAGGCTCTGAGGACGTAAGTCTCTACATGCTCCAACACTTCTGATCCCCAAAGGCTTAGGGTTTAGGGACATCTCGAGGGGCTCATTTTTAGCCTTTCTGTTACACCCTTGGGATAGACTTTCTGAACAACCATGCCACAGAGAAAGATCGCAGTCGATCAGAAAGGCTGCGGCACAATGGAATACCCTAAAACCTACAACATGCAGCTCTAATTGCCGAACCCTAAACCCTAAAACCTTAGTCACCGAACCCGAAACCCTAAAACCCTACTCTACGAACCCTCACCATGAAACCCTAAAAACCTAAAGTCGTATAGGCTTTGGAACTCCAACCTCAAACCCTGAATCCCGAATCCTCATGTAGGAGTCTGATCTTGGTAAACCTTGTCTCTATGAAGGGTTCCTTATACGAATCCGAATATGTTGGGGTTATAAGCCCGGGTTTCTTAATCAGGCTCATACATTAAACCTACACGCTTCCAATGTTTCTCGACTTCGCCCTTGCAAGCGAGTCTAGGGTTTGGTCCTCGATGCACGGGGTTCCTTTGTGGCTTCGGAGTGTAGGGTTTAGGAGCGTTCGTTTTTCGGCTATTCGGGTTTAGGACAGTTTAAGGTTTTATCACTATAACTATAAGAGCTTAGGGCTTCAAAGTTCAGGCTTCATGCGTGGACTACAGAAAAGACAAGCCTTACCACAGATCCTGCATGGCACAGCTTGCTGCCTTCAAAACCGAACTGCGGCATGAAGCAGGCGCAGGGAGAGGTACAGGGCTGATAGGGCTCTAGACAACTATGTGGGTACTGATACGGCGAAGGGTTTAGGATTACGCTTGTATGGGGACTACAAGAGGACAACCTTACTAATACCCTACAGAGTCTTGGGTTTGTAAGGTTGCTAAACTGGGGAAAGGGTGAGTACTATTAGTTATAATAATGACTGCTTACGTAAAACCGAAGGTTGGCGGCTCATTGCGATGGCTTTATTATGTGTTCCATGAAGGGACCGAGATAGTGGCCGTCGCGCAGCAGTCTGAGTGATTGCTGCCACTGCTGGCTGCGTTCCTGCAGCTTGCTTACATTTGGATAGCCTATAGGGCCTATGGTATGTCCAGGACACAGAAAATCGAGATTCATGCAAAAACACAAGTAGAAAAAGCCAGGATCGGTCTACGGCCCATCGTAGGTGCCCTGCTGTAAGACGGTGACGCCGATTCAATGAACAAACCCGAAAACATGCATCTTTAGTCTCATAACAATATCGTACTAAAGGTGTGTGTGTGTGTGTGTGTGTGTGTCTGTCTGCATGTCTGTACGTCTGTATGCCTGTGTGCGTGTATGCCTGTGCTCCTTCATGTCTGTATATGCATGCATGCATGCATGCATTCATGCATGCATGGAAGAACACAAGTAAGTATGTAAACGTATGTCTGCATAGTTGTCAAAGTTATAGTCCCTTTTTGGGTACCCTAAGGATTAGGTGCCGTATTATATTGAGGACCCAAAACGGGACCATAATTTTGACAACCACCCGTATGTGTATGTACCTATAGTCTCCATTGTAGTTCCTTTTTTTGGTTTAGCCAAATATATATTAAGGATCCCATAAGGTAACCCCAAAACAGAACTACAATGGAGACTATAGGTATGTCCGACAAGTCAACCAGCAGCCCCAAGAGCCGGACCAGCGTGCTGTGCAAGGCATTGACGGCGACGATGTCCGGCTCCAGCCCAGTTGCCTAAAAGGTTTAGGGTTGAGGTGTCCTTTAAGCTAAGGGTCTAAGCCTGTAGGGTTTAGGGTTCCTTTATAAGGGTTTAGAGCTTAGCATAATGCAGGGGGATTGAAATTTAGAATTCTTTGCTATAGTCATAGTATAATATACCCCCAGCCCTATTCTAGTTATTTAAGACCCCTATATTACGGGAACCATAACGGGTTTAGGGTTTAGGTGTCCTTTAAGTTAAGGATCTAAGGTTTAGGAAGTTTAGGGTAGGGTTTAGGGTTCCTTCGGAAGGATCCCAAATCCAATACTCGAAGTCCCTCAATTCAGCCTCGAGCCTAAAGCAGCAAGCTCCCTGAAGCCTGAAGCACAACAAGGCCCTCCATCCTGACCAAGAGCCACATGGGTGGTTGTCAAAATTATGGTCCCTGTTCCGGTCCTTATTATAGTACCGCACCTCATCTTTAGGGTACCCAAAAAGGCACATGGGACGAAACCAGGAAGGGCTGCAGATAACAGACCTACCGGCCTTGGGATCGAGTGCTTGTCAAGTCTCCAAAATACGGTTGATGATATAAATCCTGCATGACCCATAGGAAGGAGTATACCATAATTCTCATAGGTTTGGGTCCTTAAGGTAATGCAGGATGTCGATCATCAACAGTAGTTTCTTGATCAATTGTCAGACCCAGGCATAACACAAGGTCGTAGTGAAGCCCAGAAAGATCTCACATGGCTTTAGGCCAATTGGTGCTGAAATCCACTGTTTTACCTCAGGGCCATGAAAATGGTCATGGTTCCAACTCTCTGGCTTCTACTCTAATCGCTAACATCAAAAAACAACTGCATTGAGGTCGGATTAGCAGGTTCTACAGCTCAGGGAAGCAAGGATTGGGTCTGCTGGGTTCTTGCCAAAACCGGAGGTGCTCGCTACCCAAAAACAACTTGAGATAGCCCTCTATGGAGAACCCTAGACCCCAAACTTGAGATGCCTCCGGCTTTTGTACAAATCCGGGGATCGAGCCCTGACGCCCTGAAGCAACCTGCCTGAACATGAAATCCCAGAAAATCCTAGGGACTAGGGGTGTAGGGTTTAGGGGTTTAGGGTCTGGTAGGGTTTACCTTAACCCTGAGTAACCTACCTTTTTAAGGCCTTATAAAAGGAAGTCATACATAATAGGGAGCCCTAAAAAGGTAGAATCTTCAGGGTCAAGGTAGGGTCTAGGGACATCCCAGGCCCTAATCCGTATGCGAAGGGCCTGAAAGTGGGAAGAGACGGCCGACTGCCATCTTCGGCCTAGGCCGAGGGCCTCGCAAGGCATGGAACTTCGGCAAATTGCAGGGTCTTAGGGTTCAGGTGGGGAATTTAGGGTTGACGGGCTTAGGGTTCAGGTTTCCGGGTTTAGGGTCTGCTATAACAAGTCTGCAGGATTTCACTAGCAATCGCATAGAAGCATCTGGAAACCTCAGGTTTGGTGAGGGAGAGGGCGGGGGGTTTGACGCTCGGCTTCAATCAGGGCATCAGGGTGTGCTGTTAGAGTTTGATTGATTTGGGGTTTAGGGTTTTGGGTTGGGGGCTCTTCAAGATGTGTGGGTGCTCCTGTGTCCATAGGTTGGACGACAGCTCCCATTCTGATGGAAACAAATCAGTCTGGGAAACGGCTGTCACAGGTGCACCCCCGCCCTACAATCGTGCATAGCAAACCGTGCAAACGACCCAGTCACAGATCTTCTGGCATGCTGAGCTTCACATCATCCTAGGGCTCCCAGTCTACAAACAGAACCTACTTAGGGGTCTAAGGTCTACAAATAGTACATACTTTGGGCTATCTGGAGCCCCAGGGTAAGCTACGATTTGGGGTTTATGGGATTTAGGTGTCGAGGCTATCGGGTTTAACGTTTTTTGTGCTTTACAAGGTTACAGCCGTACGCTTTCCCAGCGAGCAAGGGACTTGAAGCCCTAAAGGTACTCAGGCAAGCACGCTCGTGAGAGCGCTGAGAGTGATAGCATCTGCACCTCGGCAATGCATTGACCTTTAGGGGTTACGGATTAGGGCACTTCGGACTAAAAGGCCCTACACCCTAAACCCTGTATAAGGCCTTGACGGATTGAGTAATTAGGGTCTCGGGCATAGCTAGTAGTATCAATCGAGATTTCCTACGTGCATGACATCACTCACAGTTCGGCAGGTCTCTCAATACAGCTACAGGAATGCCACACTACACACCGAGGGCAAACCGTGCCCCTTAAGGCACGTGGAATAAAAACCCTCGGGCCTCAGGAAAGACTACTACTGTACGAAGCACTTCAGACCTCCATGTCTCGGGTAGTTACGGCTTAAAGTCTGGGTAGTGTGGAGCTTTCCAATTCTGACTGAAGTCCATGGAAAACCTAAGCCGCGTTGGGATGGCCGAAGATTACAGCAGC